GTTTAAATTCTTCAGTTATTGAAATTAACCCTCGCCCTCTCAAGTTTCAAACTAATCAGAAAGAAATGATTTGTGGCTGTAAAAGGGAAAATGTCACTAAATTTGCAAGTATGATTGATTCTTACCTCCCTTAAGTCATTCCACAGCGTATAGAACCTCTGGTAAATACTTAGCTGGTAAAGTAAGAGAAACTGTAAACACGTGTCGAACAAAAATGTATTGCGACGTGGTCTGAGTATAGTTTTGTACCTTAAACCGAGGTATCTCTTTAAAAGTTGCGGTAGAGATGGCAGGAGGAAAATTGTTGAGACAAGATAGCAACTCAGCGCTTTCCCACTACATTTCGACGAGTTTGGAGGAGAGCCTTAGAGACCTCTAAGTCGAGTTCATCATGTTGAGGCTGATTTGGCTCATTACCTGACATCACACGTGGGGAATTTAGTCGAGATGAACAGGGTGGGGTAGGATAGTATATGCGACTAAGGAAGAGTGGTGACAAACTTTCAAACTTATACGAAACTATGGGCCAACATGTAACCTAAAACATCAACTTGGCCAGCACGTTTTAAGAGTTGTTTCATTACACTTACACCATCTTGTAACTCGTGGTTCACCAACTTGGCTGTCGATTGAAGCGCTGTGAAAGAAAATATGTTTTTATTATTGAAGGCTCTGCACAAGAATTTAAATGGAACCTAGCAAGCGCTCGATGGGTACAATTGTCCCATATCGAACGAGAACGAATGAAATAACTGTTTACTTTAGGCCAGCTCTACAGGTTATCTCCCATGGGAGCTGTTGATTACCAGCTGTATGTCCCTAGGTAATTAGGAAATCAAATTAGAGGCTCCGCGGACCTGATGGTTTGTTTTCGCTGGGGCTTGTTAGTCCAAAGCCAACTCCAGGGCCATTATATCAACAGGAAAAGGTGCGGCGAGCGACCCCGTAAAGGACATATCTTTCCACCCACCCCTTCACCCCTCCTCGCTCTTTACGGCTGTTATTTCGTTCACGTTCGGGTAGATGATCTGAGCAAAGACAGGAGGTTTTTTAACAGTCTATGCTGGGGTCTTGGTGTACGTGGTGAAACACTCATGGTTCACTTACTATCAATAGCGTGTTGTGCCATCACTGTCAACTGTCCCTTCACTAGGTCTTCCCTCAACGGCGCCCCTGATGCTGACCCCTCGGCTGTAACTTTTACTTTATTCGGTACTTTTGAGTAGGGCGGGAGCAAGTGAAGAATGTCATTCAGTGTGTTCCATTGACTCTTCTTGACAAATTCTGCGTCGAAAGCCTGACCGGGTTCTTCAGAGGCTAGTTGACTAAGGAAGAAATTGTTAATGCGCAGGTTTGGAATCCCTGGCTCTTTCTTGTCAGTCGTGTCTACCTTTTGAACCTCTAAATTCCCTTGTTCTTTCGTGGCTGCTATGATACTCTCTCCTGTCACGCTATCGTGCTCTTCTACCTTCTGCACTGTTTGCTCAGAGGACACCACCTCAGGATAAGTGCTGTCCGCTTCAGCGCTAATACTTTCTCTTTCCTTTCCAGTCATTTCGTCTTTTGATATCTGATGTTTAGACGCCCTTGAAATGGTTCCGCCCTGCTTCAAATGTAATGAGGAACGCCTCCTTTTGTTCCCAAGCTTGTTTAGTCTGCCTTGCTCCGTTGACGTGACTGCTATGTCTCTCTCTCCTGTCACGCCATCAGGCTCTTCTACCTTCTTCATTGTTTGCTCAGAGGACACCACCTCAGGATGAGTGCTGTCCACTTCAGCGCTGATACTTTCTCTCTCCTTTCCAGTCATTTCGCCATTCGATATTTGATGTTTAGACGACCTTGAAATGGTTCCGCCTCGCTTCAATTGTAATGAGGAACGCCTTCTTTTGTTTCCAAGCTTGTTCAGTCTACCTTGCTCAGTTGACGCAAGAGCCCTGATTACTCTAGCTTTATCAATCTGACAATAAAAACAAGGAACACAGTAATCAGGGATGGCATCTCTACAAATTGTAAAAGACCAACCATCTTAGTTTCCCTTTCTGCGTTCTCATTTTACCCCTCCCTGAAAAAAACGATTGGTTTGACTACAAAAGATTAAGATTAAAAAAAAAAAGCCAAAACAAAAAAATAACAGAATGGGCTGATTGACCCGGAAAACATGATGAAGGTTTCATACTGACACCAAGTTTATTATTTCACGTCTGTACTTCCTGGTCTAGTTTCCATGGCTTTCATCGGATAGCTTGGAAAAAGAGTCCTGGGAAAGAGTTTGTCAAATTACCGGAATATTTTCAGCATCAATGGACTCCAATATTTCCATTGCTTTTTCACCAAGGTGTTTCTCGGTCACTGTTCGCAAGGTCTTCGCTGTTGATCGAAATAAATGAGAAATTATTATCCTGACAAACCTCGTCTTTTGAGAAAAACTTTAAAAAAAACAAACAACAATAACAACAAAAACCACAAAAAAATACCTCCTTGCTCAACAAGATCATATCCGTATTCGACAAATCCAGATATTTCATCACAAAGTCGGTCTACCTGTTCAACAAAGAAAGCATAAAAACAGTTCGGGTGAATTGCTCCTTGTGAACTAGCGAAGACAGTCATTTGTTCCCACCAAGGCAGTTATTCTGACTTACGTGTGGTGCTCATGAAAATATACAAATTGCAAACTGTTAGTCTCAGGTCTGACGCAGTAGCAGTGGTTTTCTCATCGATATATTTTCATGACGCCTGACCTGGTATCAAGATGGGATCAGGTGGTATCCTAAGATTTTTCTTACCAAATAATCGATGACTGGTTCAAGACCTTCATCTTACCTCGTCCTGTATAAATGTCACAGCAGAGGTCGTTTCTTGCTCGACGACATTAGTCGGTTTTACCGCCACGATAGCCTCAGCCAGCGATTTACCATCTTGCGGCGGTGGCGGTCGTGAAATAGATTGCCTCTGACTTATGCCCTCATACAGCTTGCGGTCATACTGACTGGTCTGAGTCCCCTTAAAAGACAATTCCTTCGATATTAGTGCAAAAGCCAACAATATGATCTTATTATATTATGCATGCAGTACTTACTTTATTAGCAAGCGTGACCACTTTTGCCTCTCTAACGGTCACGTAAGGAGCCTTTTCCTCCCTACATTCACCCAAAACTGAGTTACGTCCTCTTGATTTCACTTCTATCCTCTCCTCCTCTCTTTTTAAGTCGGCCGCCTTTCTTGGTTTGGCAGCATTATCATCCTCTTCCTCGATACTTTTATCCCCTTCTTCATCGTCGTGTGACAGTTCCTCTTCTTCCTTCTTCCGTTTCCTTGACTTTTTGCTCCTTCTAGCCGTCTTGTTTTTTTTCTGTCCGCCCGGCTCTGATTGATCCTCCTCTATTTCTTCCATACTAGACCCTGTATCGTTTTCGGATGAGATCTGGGTTGGATTCACGGCTGTTTTTTTAAAAGAGAAATGAGCATTGTGAGGGCTTTGGACATTATCAACAAAGTGCAGTGCACAGCAGCAAATCACTGGTGCGCATACTTTGCTCACATAAGCAATATTTCATGAACGCGGGAAAAGTTTTCAAATTCCGTGTATTTGCTTTCAGTTCGCCCGCAGCTTGCAGATATGTTAGCGGTATTACAGTCGTATATATTATAAGTGACAAAAGTTGAATACCTTTTGTGGTTGATGTCTTTTTAGACCGTATTTTTGCCTGCGCTTCAGCCGGCGTCAATTCAGATTTTGTAGAGGTGGTATTGTCCTTAAAAAACAATGGACCAAGTTTGCTATCTACACGAGACATGCTGAAACTTATTACACGGCACATGCAGTATAAGTTAAGATCTTACAAATTTCCAAGGATTTATTGTTATAGATACCTCTTCCTCAGAAGTCGTCAATTCAGATTTTGCAGAGGTGGTATTGTCCTTAAAAAACAATGGACCAAGTTTGCTATCTACACGAGACATGTTGAAAACTCATTACATGGCATAAGCAGTATAAGTTGAGGTCTTACAAATTTCCAAGGATTTATTTGTTATAGATACCTTTTTCTTAGAAGTACGCGGCTGCGATCTTAATTTATTCAACTCTTGTTTAGTGCGCGTGATTTCTTGTTCCTTCTCCGTTATCTGTTGTAACTGACTGGTCAACTGGTCTCTGTAAGAGGAGCAGTTGGGACACTCCGCAGCAGAAGGTTCAGTCTGAATGTTTTCGACCTCACTCGATGGATCAGTTTCTTTAAACGGCTTTTAAAATTAACAAAACCAGAAATTTCTGTCATCGATCACTGAGTTCAATTTCATATTTTCATTGCCTATGACCATAGTTATCAAACATAAAAATTAGTTTCAATCATCATACAAAAAGAGTTCTTCAGACCTTTCTGTTACCATCTAAAGATTCCAACTTTCTTTGCAGTTCTTTGTTTTCCTGTAACGAAGAATTAAAAACAATGTGATAATGAGATATATTTAAACATTTCACTTCCCCGAATCCCAGTTTTGAGGAAAGCTGAAATCTCGGCACTCGCCTTTTCAAGTTTCTGCGCCACATTCCGCGCGTCTCTCACTTGAGCCTGCAGTATATCAGTCGAGGCAAAATCCTCGCTTGAACCTGTAATGGATTTCGTCTGCAAAGGAAGCAACTGGAGAAAAAAAAATGATCTGATTTAAAAAATCAAGGCCATATTCATCTTTTCCAAGGAATCAGTTTTTGACTTCTCGGAACTTTTCTTGATACAAATGAAAAGTTTTCCACACAAACAAACGCAAAATTTAAGATATAGCGACTGGTGCGCAGTTTTCCTCCAGCTGATTGACATATTTAAACAAATCTTAATCTATTTTTATGCCGTGGCCACAAAAAATAATTAAGGCCGGAAAAATGAGCAAAAAAGCGTTCTTCACGCAATGAAACCATCATTGGCAGAAAATGACATGAAAAAAATTTTAATCTATCGGTTACCACTAATGTCATCGATGTCTAGATTTCTTAGACAAAATGAACCAATCACCACCAAGGAAATAGGAATTTACTCTTTACGTGGGCGACGGACCAAGCGTAAGCGAGTGCTACTTATCGGAGAGCCACTCAAAAAACTTTTAATTTTAAACATTTGTCTTGTATCCACAGATTATGGTACAGGATTCTCACCTCCTCTGTTTCCTCGGTCTGGTCAATTACTGCTTCACTGATTTTAATATTGTCCTTTTTTTCGGCGAGAAATCTGCGAAGATGCTGCAATATGAACAGAAACACAGACAGGTCAATAATTGTGTTGATTTTCCTTTGCCTTTTTTTTTTTTGTTCAAAATTATTTTTAGGAATCACCCTCTTGAAGCCTAGGGAAGCGATTTGCTCCCTCACATGCATGTGCGATCGTAAACATAATTACGCATGAGCAGAATATTTCCGATAAAACAAAGTTTGAGTGGCATTACGCATGCGTACACCAATTCTCGGGTATGGGGTCGGGTATGGGTAATCAGCATGAAGGGCGGAGGCTAAATTTATTAATAAGAACATTGCCAACCTGTTTACACTGCTTCAGTTCAATCTGCTTTTTTTCCAGTTGGCCCTCAACTGAAATCTTGTCATTGTATATACGAGTTTTATCTTTCTCGAGGTTCTTCTGGCTCTGCATAAACAGATTAATGAATAAATAATAATTGATAAGGTAGCCGAATACGCGTTTAAATGTATTCGTTGTATTGGGAAAATTGCAGATGTTCCTGCTCTTAGAAAGATGTCTCTTACATAACTGTTTTGCAAACAATTTTTTTCTTATGGCAAAAATCTAAGAGAATTCCTAAAACGTTGAGAGATTTCATTTGATTCAACTTGTTTTCGTACTTACTTTTTCGTGTTTGCTGATGTCTTTTTTCAAGCTGGAATTAAAAGACGGTCATAGATTAACTGAA